TCCCTTATTATGATTTTAATATAGTTTCGTCTAAGTTTCGACTGTTATTAAGGGGTTTCGTCCCTCATCATTAATAATTATAATAAGCAATAGTGTTAATGCTATAATAATTAGTTTTATTTCTTATTTTAAAATGCTTATCCACTAATTTCTTTTGTTATTTTGTTAATTTTGTATTTTTGTTATAATAATTTCTTTCTAATTTAACTTTAATTAAATATTTTTGTACTTTTTAAATAAATCTTTTGCTTTTTTTCTTAAAATATTATACTGTAAACTATTTTGAAAATGGTAATATATATTACATAAATCTATTTTAAATTTATAATTTAAATATACAGTTTTAATTAGTCTTATAATTTGTAAAATATATCATATTTTAATAATTCAACATATTATTATTTCAAGATTTGTAATAAAATTATGATAAACTGATTTATAATATATGTTTATTAGTAAAAATACAAATGATTTAGTAATACAATTAATATTTCTAAGGCTTAGTAATATATGCATAATTTTCAAAAAATTCTTCATAGCTGTAGTAATAATTATTATATCAATGATTATTTTGAGTTTTATAATGATATTTTTTACATTATCATAAATATTAAAAATAGTACTGTAACTAATTATAATTGGTAATAAATTAGTATTAATTAGTTGTAATATTAATAAAAATTAAGTTGTAACTAATTACAACTAGTAACAAATAAGTATTACATAATTGTAACTAGTTGTAATACTATCTTTAATAAATATATAGTATTATACTATTAGTTAATAAGTGATTTCTAACATTTTTAAAGTAAATATGACTAATTTTTAGCATATTAAGATATGTTTTTTGATAAAAAAGTGTGTTGCAATCTCAATAATAAAAGTTTTTTATTAGTATATTTTAAAATATTAGCTGATAGTTATTTTTTCACTATTTATTACTTTTAGCTGAATCATTAAAAAAAATGTCTAAAAAAGTTTGAAATGTCTTATATAATTTGACAAACTTTTCTCTTTAAATCTTTTTAAACAATTATAATAATAACCTTTTTCCAATAAATTAATTATTTATTTATACTAGTGAATTTACCATTTTTATTATTTTTTATACATGTATAATTCTACATTATCAGAATAAAAATATCTTTTTATGATAAATTATAATAGTTATTTTTAAAATTTTACTAATAAATTTACTATAAAATTTTTACTTAAAAATAGAATAATAAATTATTGTTTAATATTTTATCAGATTTTATTACTTTTTATTACAACTTTAACTATTTTCGATATGTTACCTATTAATTTTATCAATTTTCAGGTTCAAGTTTATAGTTCTGGTAAAAAAAACTGACAATTATAAATTAACAAATATCTTACCTAACTTTTATTAAAAAAATCCAAAATTTTAAAAATTAAACTCTTCAAATATATATAATAAAAATATAAAAATCTTAAAAATTTATCGGATGATCTTGATTTTCTATCACTATTCCTAAACACTTTAGTATAGATTTTATGAGATTAATACATAAGTTTTCATTGATTGCCTCCTATTCTTTCTTTATTAATTCTATAAAAATGTTTTGCATAACCAATTTTTTTCAGTGATTATAATATTAACCTTCTTCTTAACATTTATTTTCATTATTGCCTATAGATTCTTAATCAGATTAAGATCTGAAGAAGAAGACAATCAATTAAAAACTTAAGAACAATGATTTTGAAGTAAAGTGATTGTAAGTTTAGCTTAATGCTTAAGATTATTATCCTATTAGAATATTTATCTATTTTAAAAAATCTGAGATACTTACTCAAACAAATTTTTAGTTATAATGTTTTGGTAAAGTTCACCATTCATGTTCTCTGTGAATATATGAAATCCTACAATTTTTTTTGCATAAAACGCATTTTACATATGGACTTTAAAAAAATATTTTATTATAACTCAATTCAGTATTACTTTTTCAATTTTGTAATGAATTAGCGTCATATTACAGAACATCTGAAATGTTAACTCATCAGAAAATACAACATTATTCCAACATTCTTTTTAATGAGCTTTCACTCAAGTGACACAATAATTTATAGTATTCTGGATAAGAAAAGAAACTGAATAAGAAATACAAACTTTATACCTAAAGTTTTGAAGGTTTTTTCTAACTGTTTAAGATGCAATATCAAGGTCAGGATATTTTTTTAAGTTTTTAGTTATTTTATTACTTGACGCATATTTGTACAATTTTGCAATTTGATCAAGATAGTGATGCTGAAAAAGAAAAAGATATTTAAACATCCCAAATGACTTCTTTGCTTAAAATCATTTGTTCTTTAAATTATTCAGCCCATTTGTATAAAGTTTTTAATGGATATCTATTGGCTTTTTGAAGGTTTGCAACTTTATAGACGTCACCTTTACATAAAGTTCTAATAAATTGATAATGCTCTTTTAGTGAAACTATTGTAAATGCTTATAATCATCAGGCTGCAGATATTTATTAAAATATTATGTAAATAACTTAAATTCATATTTTATATTATTGTTTATAGAATTCCACGTGATTCACTTTGAAATCTAAAAAAAAATTGTCAGTTTTTTTCGTCAGAATTGTATACTACTTATCCAAAATAGTTATAAGTTTTCGCTTATTTTTAGTAAAAATTTATGTATTCAGACCTTTCTTTCTAAAATATTCTAAAGATTTTTAATCAGATTCAAAATCTGAACTTTAAGCCAACTAGGAAAACCAATTATTCAAATTTTTTTCTTTTCAATCTTTATAATCTTAAAATATATACTTATTTTCATTTTCCAATTTATAAAAAAAAAGTAGAAGATGATTATTTAGTAATTGATAATATCTTTTACCAGTATTAATATTTTAATAAATAATAAAGGTCTGACTTTATTTTTACAAAAACAGCTCTATATCATTACTCTAACTGACTGTTTTACAATTAAAATTATACAATCATTTTTATATCATTTATTAACTTTATATTATATAAATTTAGGAGAATCATTATTGAATAATACAAACCTAAATTTATTATTAAATATAATTTTTTCACTCTTTCATCTAATTTCTTCTTTTATAATACTAAAATAAATATTTTTTTTCAATTTACCTCAGATACTAAAGGTTTTTTTTTCAATTCAACATAGTAACTTTTCTTATGTAGCTTATATTTAACAGTCTTACTACAAATAGAAAATTGTAAAATTTTATTAAATTCTTCAGTTAATTCATCAAATGAAGTTTACCTTTTTTTTGACTATTTTAGTTAATATTCTAGTATTTCGTAAAGTTAAAATGGGTGGTCTACTACTTCAAGGTACAGTTATTATTAACTTACGTCTTCGGTACTTATAACATTTTGAACCGTGAATTTAGCTATTAAAAGCACCTTTACAATTTTAACACTTAAATTTATCTTAGATAATTCAACTATCTCACCACGCTTAAAAAATAAATATTATAGATTTTTTTTTATTGAAAAGGAGGTAAAATTTGTAATTAGATCTGTGATTTCAGAGGTGTTCAGATACTTTTGTTTAGGCAGTATACATATAATTTTAAGACTTTACTTTTTTTGAATTCTTTTATTGCCATTTTTAAAAACTCTGATTTTTTCTGATCAATAAAATTTTGATAACAAAATACTAACTAATCAATTGATTGGATAGGTAAATGAAACCTTTTGAACACTTAGACTAGACTACATATGGTTTATTTAGCTAAATTATTTTTTGGAGTATAGTTAGGTACTCTATCTCAGTTTTCACTTATATTATATCAAATACTGATATTGCTATTCTTAGTATTAGTAATATTAATGATTATACCTTGCATTTTCTATCACGTGATCACTAGCTATTTGTGGTCACTCATCTTATTGCATCTTTACTATCTTACTAGTTCTATTTTTGTAATATAGATCTGATTAAGTATACGGAATACTTCAAAAGGACCCGTTGCTGAGTAGAGTTTTATTAGTTTTTATCAGCATTGCATCATGAAATACAATTTTAGCTCTTTTTCAGAAGGAGTTTTTCTTGCTCAAGAGAGCTCTCAAATTTTTCTCTAAGATACCAGAGTCTAAACATTTAGTAGAAAAATTTCAGGTATGTTCTAATTTATTTGACACAGGTTAGTATAAGATTCCTATCAAACTGCTCGCAACTTCCATGACTATGAGGATGTACTTCACGCCACTTTTCTCTTATGATCTTTGTGATCATTGTAATCTGCCTGTTCAGTATCTATCTCAGTGTAGAAAATATTTTTATTACTTTTTCCCTTTTACTAGAATCATAGACAGCATCACGCAGACATTGTAACTTTATAGGACAAAGTCAAATTGGCTGCTCATAATCAGAAACAAAAGCGTTTAGAACTGAGAATAACTCTGTGAATAGTAAGTATGCATCTGTTGAACTTTCTGAACTTCTCTTTGTAAAACAATATCATGCAAATATCATGGATACTACGCAAACTATGATGGAAAAAATCGCTGATGATACACTGTTTACGTTATCTGAAATAAATACTAAGGTATATTTTAATGTCACTGTACCATGACGGAAATCTCTGTTTTTACTTCTTTACTTACATTTCTCCTATAGATTCCTTCTGCAGACTTTCGTCATCATCTTAAAAAACAGAAAATGCCTGTATGATGATATAATATAAGTGAAAACTGAGATAGAGTACCTAACTATAC